CTCATCTTAAAAATTAACCAGCAAACTAGCACAACTATGTTTATCACAGCATTATTTACATAGCTAAAATATGGAACCAACCCAGATGCCCCTCAGTAGATGAATGGATCAAGAAAATATGATATATATAGAGAGGGGGCAGAAAGAGAGAGAGAGAATGGAATTCTATGTCTCCATCAGAAAGAATGACATTGCCCCATTTGTTAGGAAATGGAAAGACTTGGAAAAAAATTATTAAGTGAAGTAAGCAAGGCCCAAAGACACATAGGTCCTATGGTTTCCCTTATTTGCAATAACTAGTATATGTCTAGGACAAGCAGGAAAGATCAAAAGCTATGTACATATGACCATATAAGATGATGTTAAGCAAAAGGAACCTCAAGATAGGGACACAGTGGTTTTTCATTTCTTGTTATTGGTTATAACGTATTTATAATGTACTATGTTTTTTTTTTTTTGTTCTCCTCCCTGTTTCCACTGTATTTGATTCCAGTGCCCTGCATGTCATAAATACATTTTTGTAATTTGGGGAGGGAAAGGAAATAATAAAATGCTTAAATAAGGGTACAGGTTGACCCACTGTAACAATGAGATGTAGAAGACACAACTTCGCTGGGAGGGGGAGTTGAGGGAGGTGGAGGGGGAGCTGAGGGAGGTGGGGAGGGAAGGGAAGGTAGGTGATAAACATAGGAGGAGGTAACAATAATGCTCAATAGGAAATGTACTCATTACCTTACTCATGTACCTGTAATCTCTCTATGCAATATTTGTACAATAAAATACATATAAAAATAACCAGAGGGGCTGGGAAGGTGGCTCAGTGGTAGAGCACTTGCCTTGCATGCCTGAGGCCCTGGGTTTAATTCCTCAAACTACATAAGAAAAAAGAAAAAAGCCTGAACTGGTGCTGTGGCTCAAGTGGTAGAGCGCTAGCCTTGAGCTGAAGAGCTGAGGGACAGTGCCCAGGCCCAGAGTTCAGGCCTCACGACCAGGCCCCCCAATAAATAAATAAATAACCAGAAGCCGGGCACCAGTGGCTCACGACTGTAATCCTAGCTACTCAGGAGGCTGAGGTCTGAGGATCGCCATTCAAAGCCAGCCTGGGCAGTAAAGTCCATGAAAATCTTATGTCCAATAAACCACCAGAAACCCAGAAGTAGCGCTGTGACTCAAGTGGTAGAGCACTTGCCTTAAGCTGAATAGCTGGGGGACAGCGCCCAAGCCCAGAGTTCAAGTTCCATGACCAACCAAAAAAAAAAAAAAAACAGAGAGAGAGGTTGGGGGGTAGAGAATCTGCAAGCTGGAGGTGTGGATGAAGTGGTAGAGCCTGGCCAAGCAAGCAAGTGAGCAAATGCAAGGCGCTGAATTCAAACCTCAGTACCACCGAAAATAATATAAAGTAAAAAATAATGGAAAGAAAATTTTAAAAAATGGATCTGTGAAAAAGGTAGGTATCACTAGCTACTCAGGAGGCTAAGATCTAATGATCATGCATGGTTCAAAGGCAGCCCATGTAACAAGACCATGAAACTCTGATGTCCAATTAAGTACTAAAAGTGGGAGGGAACCCACTGGGAAACAGAGATGTGGCTCATATGTTACAGCACTGGCGTTGAGCAAAAACAGCTCAGGGACAGCACCCAAGCCCTGAGTACAAGCTCCAGGACTGGCACACGTGTGGGCACATACACACACAGACACACTCACACATACACACACACAAAAGGTAGTGTGTGTGTGTGTGTGTGTGTGTGTATGTGTGTGTGTGTGTATGTCTGTGTGTGTGTGTTGGGTGGGGAGGTTCCAGCACCAAATGGTGTAATTAAGTACTGGCTACCAAAACTGCGGCATGAAAATTTGACTCATGAGGGAAAGTTTTGCAGCAGAACACAGATGACTTGAAGAGCACTGCGTTCATATCTGCATTCCTCCTGTGAGAACTCGAGTAAATGATTTTCCTTTTGCTGCCTGTTTCCATAATGGACTAGTGACTTCTCAAGCGCCTCCCTCCCACTTTAACACTCACTCAGCAAAAATCCATTTTTCCAAGTGCTACACCATGTGCTATGTACTTAAAAAACACTCTATGTCAAGACGTCTTCACCTACTGAGGCCACGATGCACTTCTTGGCCACAGGAACTACAACAGCCTACATCCTTTCCCCATGCCATTGTGGTTGTTGGAGAAGCAAAAGTCTCATTCAAGTCTTTCTCTTTCTGACTATGATCCAAGTACAAGATGCAGAAGGTCAGGTATACGCAAAATACAAAAGACATGCACACAACTGGCTCATATAGCTCAAATGTCATTAGGTGCAATTAACTGGTACAGGACATATTTCCAGTTAACCAAGTTCACCTCGAGGTATTTCTTTACATGGCTGGCTTTCCTACTTTGTTTGCAGCTTTCTGAGAAGCCAGCTGTCTGACCACATGAATTCAGAAACCCTAGAAGCATTATGTGTCCTTTATAACTCAGATGTCTTGCCCAGTTCCAGAGATACACTGAGGATGAACTGGGTGGCAGTTCTGTGACTTACATTCTAGCAGATGACAGCTAAATGCTCTTTTAATCTTCAGTGGAGGAATCAAAGAGTTAAGAGGACTGTTCAAATAGTGGGTATGTTGCCCTCAGATAAACTTCTCTCAAATCCACAAGGAACCTAATTTTCTTTTGGACAAAAGTCCTGTCAAGACTTCCTTCCAGAGGCTCTCTGGTTACTTCTGCCAGGAAGATCAATGAGGAGGTACTGTGGGAAAGTTCTCAACAATTACTAGAGTGAAAGACTGAGCTTAGAACCAACTTTTCAACCCTTTATAACAGCGCAGAGTGCTCCAGATAGCAGATTTCCCAGACAGCAGCCTGATGTGTTACATGCATGCTCAGGGATAGTGTGGAATGAGGACTGGAAGAAAGTCAGCCTCTTCCTTCAAGGCCAGCTGCCATTCAAACAAGGAAGTAACTGGGAAGGCCAAGCCCAGGGCTCTGACTCTGCAGAGAGAGTAGAACACAAAAGGGCTGTACAGAAATTTGGCAGGATCTTCCTGAAAGGCAGCAGCTGAATGCTGCATCCTATAGCACCTAGAAAAGCCTATCATTGCAAAAGAGCTCTTCTGCTGCACCCAGGAAGGAGAAATTTTCTGTAAAAGTAGAACAGCCAGTTGACAAGACTTGAAACACCAATCCCATTCACCACTTCCTCCTAGTCCTCTTTATGCTATTCCAAAGAAAAAGAAATTAAACAAAAATTAAAACTTCCCCATGAGCTATCCACACACTGCAGGTCAGAGTTCCAAGGAACATCCATCCAGCTGTTGCTCTCCACTCTTTCTGCCCCAAAGGCTGCTTTATTCAATCAATACCTTCTTGTACATGTGAGTAACTTTCTTTGAAAGCTCAGGCAAAACTGCCAGTTAACCTTTACCTTCTCTCTACACATCTAGGTCTATAGGAAATGAAAATCAGAACTTCTTTGGCACCTGCCTTAACTGAAATATGACAACTTTCTTTAGGCAAAGGCAGACTGTCAAGAGCTCTTTTAGACCTGGTCACAGCTATTCCATAGGAGACATGCACTTGGGCAGGACACACCCCCCCTTTGCCTGGGGCTTTGCCAATATAGAATCCCTGAACCTAGGGAGGCTGTCAAAGACAAAACCCCAGGAAAAAGCAGTAGCCCTATGTGCATTCACTAATCACATCACAGAATGCTGGCAACCGAACCAAGAGATGGAGTGGTGAATGATAAGCACATACAGCAAGTTAATGACAAAGCCAAACACAGCCCTGGCCTCTTCACCCTGATACTGGTACAGGATAGGAAATGAAGGAGATTTCAAGAAAGAAAAACATGCAAGACACAGAATTTAAGGGGGAAACAGCTAGGCTGGCTATCAGGGTTTGAACTCAGGGTTTAGGAAAGGCCATTGCTAACTTTCCTCAGTTACTGAACAGTTAAGATGTACCATAAAGATCAAGCCAACTCCTCTTGGATGGTTTGCAACAATTAACTAGAGTAATTGTTAAGCTCCAATTGATCCACCTTGTGGCAAAGAACTGTCTGTGCTCAAGATACCAGAATGGCCAGGCAGCAGCCTGACACTGAGGAGAAAGGAAAACCCATCAACCTCAAAAAGTCAGCCTCTTCCCGTGGGGAAGCCAACAGTCAATTCTGACCCTGATATGAACATTACCCACTTCCCATTGGACCACAAAAATCCCCTAAGCAAATCTTAAATGTCCCAATATACAAAGCAATTCAACAGAGCTACCTGTGAACAGCAAAGGGCCTACAATTTGCAGCTGACCTTAAAGAATGGGGCCTTGCCGCAGCACCTCCAGAAGCAGACACAGTTGCTGGACAAAGTTGGAGGGCCAAGAAGGTCCATCAAAAGTTACACAACACTTTTGATGTACCTTAAAACCACCAGACAGAAGCAGGAGCAGATATGGGCCCCAGCTGAGCTTTCTGGCTTTCACTAGAGAAGGAGGAGTGAGCAAAAAGGAAAGGGGGTGATTCTACTTGTTGTGACTGTCCTAGAAGACAGACAAACCAAAGACTAGGTGGGATTTTTATCTTTATCCATTGATGAATTAAAGAAGGTGAAGCTTAGCCAGCAGCTGCATGAGCAACAGACCTAATATGGGTGCCTGGACAATAAGGTAGTCAAGAGCCAGAGAAAGCTGAAGCAGTAGGGTTTCTTCTCCAGGAGTTGAAACCATGGGAAAGGAAGCAGGACACACAAGTGCCCAAGAAGACCCTGAAATTCTGCTTCATCCACAAGCTGCATGGAAAAAGTGGGCTACTAGAAGCAAGTGGATAAACTCAAACATGGATGCAGCCAGCTGTCAAAACCTATCAGCACCATTGAAGAGTCCCTAGAATTCTATAAAGAACAGATGGAAGTACTGGATGAGCTATATCAGAAGAAAGATGAGTGTGTCAACCAGCTCTTCCAGGAGGAGAAGGAGAAGAAGGAGCTGCTATTGCTTCTTACAGATGAAAGCACCTGAGTTTCAGGACAAGATCCTAGCAGCCATCCAGACCTCTGCGGATGAGGGCCCCTCAGACCTCTCAGGCTTCAAGAAGAGGGAAGTTATGAAGAAGCAACAAGATTTTGAAGATTTAAAGCTTGAAGACTATGTGGATCCTGCCCAAGGAGAGGCTGGGGTACCTTGGCATCTCAAGGACCCCTACTACAGAGCAGATCATGCTACAAAAGCTTGCTATTCAATCACCTACCTGAGCTTACATGCTTGGGCAATAATGGCTGCAGGACTGAGACAAATGACAACTTGGAGATCATTTTTGCATGAAGACCTGGAGGTCTTCCAGCTGGGGAACGGGGCTCTTGTCCTCTAACTTACTTTGCTGCAAGAGGATCAGGTGGCATATTCTCAGGCCTAATTATAATGAGTGAGACAGGGGAGGAGCCAAACATACCAGAGGCTTCTGGGAGCTGGCCCAAATTCTAGAGACATTTAACAGTCCATTCATTACCAGGAAAGGGGCTCAGGTGTAGGTTTCCACAAAGTGTAAATGCTTTACCAAGGAAGTTGGAGAGTGATGGCACGGTTTTATATTATTATATTATGATAATAATAGAAAATGTTTGATGTCACAGTTTAATAATAGTGTATTTTAATTTCATAACATTACATTTTTATGCAATATTTTGATATCACTGTATTGTATACATTATATCAATCATTTCATGATGTATGTTGTATGTCACTAGAGTCACTTGGCTTTTTAAAAATGTAAGGAATGCTGAGCTGGGCAATAGTGAATTTTCTTTTTTGTATGTTAAAAAGTTACAATGGTGATAGGTAGATGAAAACATAATAGAAAACACGGAAAGCAAAAAAACATTAATGCTGAAATCCTGGAACAAAGCAAAGATGTGAGATGAATAATTGGAAGTCTAACACAATTGGAGTACAGACACATGGATTACAGAAATGTAATCCAAAAATAAGAATATAGAATTACGAAATATCTGTAGATATGGCATATCTTAATAATTTTTCAGTGAAACCTACTGAAATGATACCTCTTGAATATTATTGTTGAACAAAAAAATAAAATTCAACCTAATATGTTACTTAACTTTGTACAGTGGATTAGATTCTGCAAGATTATATACCTTTGACTCAGGTAATAAATTGAAAATTCAGAAACAACTATTCAGTATTTAAATAAAAAAGTAATTACACAAATTGATCTAAATGCCGAATGTATCATCTGTCTTAGATTTTCTGTGTATTAACTTAAAATCACATTCTTTATGAAGGAGAAAAATAGCTGAACTAACATTAATATCTCTAAAATATTCTTAATTAAAAAAATTCCTCAAAGAAAAAGATTAGTGTAAAAATCACCTTTGAGCATACTCTACAACTGAGGTGTGAAAAATTAAACAAAAATAATGAATTATATACAGCTCCATATTCATAGCTTTCTAAAGAATTACTTTAAAATGTCCTTCATTTTTGAAATCAGCTCAGAATTCTTGCATAAATTAAAATTGGGGAACTACATTACCAATAGAAAATTAATACAGTATTTTTTATGAGATTAGAAGTCTGATGAGAATAAAAAGATTGAAATGGCTCAAGTGGTGAAGCACCAGACAAGCAGGAGGCATGACAATTTACAAATAAAAAGACTTGGATGATCATCTAATAACTCCACAATGAAAGCTCAGCTAATTTTCAAAGCCACAAGGTAAAAAGTCACCTACATTCTGGTGGAAAAGTAATTAATTCATAGTACAAAAATAAAAGATTCAAAAAGGTAAGAAAAAAAAAACGGTTTTCCAATCCTGTTCAAATTTAACTTTCACCTAGCCAAAATAAACACTTGTCACTCTCTAAGAAAATTGTAAGAGGCATTTCCATGAAAGAGGAAGTTAAAGGTGTGGTTTCCAGGATGGAAATTCCAACTCCAGATGATATGTAAATCAACTTCCCTAATTGAGAACTCAGGTACACACCCTTTTCTTGGCCTACCGCCCTGAATCAGAGGACCTATTCCTACTCTTTTTGTGAAAGGGAACTTTCTTTACACTTTATTTTTAACACCTCCCCATTGCTGACACATTATATAGAGAAGTCTCTTGGGGTTGTGGTGTTTCTTTATCTTGACAATGGCAGTGTGAGTTTTTGGAATGTGGTTAAGAGTTCCCTTCTCTGGAGATACGCCATTGGCTATTTCCAACTTCCTGTCAGACCCTTTTTCTCCAATGATAAACCACTGTTAGTGAAGATTCTATACGTTGGGAACTCTATAGCAGAGAACCTTTCTCAAATGAAGCAAACCATTAATACTGTACTAATTTGAATTTTATGCACAGTAATCTCATTTTGTTATGAAATATGGAGGTAACATATAATAAAACATAACATGTAAAAAATGAAGATAAGATAAAGTAGCAACAATGCAACAGAGCCAGAAATATTTAAAAATTTCCATAAAAATAAACTCATGCAAAAATGAGTCCCCAGTGACTGCTTTTCACCATGAAAGAAGGTGGATCTCAGAATAACAGCAAAAAACAAAACAAAACAAAACAAAAAAACATTTAATTCAGTGGGCATTGTTGTTTTCCCAGCAATCCTTGCTACTCAGCAGGCTGAGCTCTGAGGATGGCAGTTCATAGCCATTTCATATAGGAAAGTACAAAAGACTCATCTTCAATTAACCACCAAAGTGGAGCTGTGGTCCAAGTCGTAGGAGAAAAAAAAAAGCAAAATACAAAAACAACAACAACAACAAACCCTCACGAATAGTGCTCATGCCCTAAGTTCAAGCCCCAGTAATTTCGAGAACAAAAAAGCAGTACTGGTTTCAGTGACACAAAGTTCTAGAGCAGACTTTTGATTACTATATCCTGGGAAGAAAAAAAACAGAAAAACCTCTATACTAGACCATTGGGATGTTAAACTTTCTATTAGATTGGATTCTTTAAGTTTCAGTACTAATTCCTAAAAATAAAATATAATATAATAAATTGGAATACTTAGAGAAATAGCTGGTAATAATGGAGAAGAAAGAAAATGCAGGGTTGAACACTAAAGATGAAAGAATGGCTTCAGAAAAAATAAGTCATAATTTTTGGGGTAAAAATGAGGAGAACATTAATTCAGGCTAAGAGATTAATAATAACAATGGCAAAGCTCAATTAAACCATTAGGCATACAGAGTGATTAACAATAGTCAACAATTGTAACAATACAACAGTTTGCTGTCCAGTTGTGATGGTTCTTTGTTGGTGTCCGTTTTTCACTCTATGTACCCAATTATTGTGCATTCATCCCCGCTGTCATTATCATATGAAGATAAAACATAATGCTTAGTGGTGCACCCCTGTAATCCTAGCTACTCAGGAAACAGACCTGAGATCTCAGTTCAAATCTGTCCTGGGCAGGAAAGTCGTAGACACTCATCTCCAATAAACCACTAGAAAGCTGGAAGTGGTGCTGTGGCTTAAGTGGTAGAGTGCTCACCTTGAGCTGAAGAGCTGAGGTTTCCCTCAGACCCAGAGTTCCGCAGCACTAATGACAAAAATTTTTTTAAAAAGAAAAATTTAAAAAAATATTGAGAGTCAATGCCTGAGAGTCAAAGTTGCAAACATAGTGTTAGGCTACTATTTCTCTGCTGGCAATTCAGATAGGGGATTATGCTTTCAAAGCTAATGGATCAACAGCAAGAAAGGTACAAGATTGATTATAGTAACAAAACCACAAATGGGAAAGGTTATGACAGGGACACTACAGAATCTATAACCCTAAAGAGAATATTCTGATAGGATAAAATTTATAGCGAATTGAATATTAATAATGTGCTCTTGAAAGCCAATGTATATAGATATATGTATATATATGTATATTTATGTCTATGATAATTTTTTAGATCATTCTCAATAACGGCATTGAGTTATTAAATTATATATCAGAATACTACATCATTTTATAATAAAAAGGCATAAATGATATTTGAAATAAAGATAAGAGAAATAGAGTGGAAGAAGAGCTCAGGAACAGATCCTCTACCCTGAGTTCAAGTCCAGCACTGACAGACAAACAACAAGAACAACAACATCGCAAGGATGAGTCAGTATAGACAATAGACAAGAGGAAATGATCTCCGAGGGTAGGATCTTTGGTCACTCATAGTCAGGTGATCAACGACAATCAGGTGATTACTGGTATGATTCAGGCAGGTGATGGGAAAGCTGGGAGGGGCTGGTCTGTGGGCAGATTTAATACTGATCACAACTCAAGCAAGAGATAGTTCTTGTCATCTCAGCTTTATGCAAAGTGTGAATTGGAAGAACTCAGTCCAGAAGAGCCTAAGAATAAACAAAAGTTTCTATTCCAAAAACAAAAGCAAACACAGAGAGGACAAGGCTTAAGTGGTAAAGTACCAGCCCAACATCAGGCCTGACAAATTACAAATAAAAAAAGTATAGGATGATAACCTGTTAAGAAATATGAACTCAGCTACTTTTGAAGACCCATAAGATACAGTGGATAATGTCAGTAATATGGCCTACAGTCCTGTGGAAAAGTAATAAACACATAGTTCCATTATAAAACATACACAGAAGTAAAAAACAAAACAAAACAAAATAAAACAAACACAATAAACTTTTCCAATCCTGGACAAACCTACATTGCACCTAACCCAAATAACCTAACCAAATTGTAAGAAGTAGGTCCTTGAAAGAGGAAGTGAAAGGTGTGGTGGACAGGATGTAAATTCCAACTCCTATTGATATGTAAATCAGCTTCCCTAAGCAACCAATCAGAGACTTCCTTTCCTGGGCCCACCCTCTTTCAGTATAAATAGAGTGGAAGTCTGAGACTCAGGCATTGCTGAAGATCCTACATCAGCAGGCTGGAGGCCTTTTGGAGCTTGGATACTCCAGGTGAGGATTAGAGTGAGAGAATCTACTCCTCTTTTAATTCTTCTCTCCTTGGTTTGGTGGTGGTATTGTTTTGTCAGTTGCGGGGATTGAACCCAGTGGTAGGGCAGTGTTGCTGGGTCACTTTGTGCTCAAGACTGGGCATTGTCCCTAGGCCACTTTTTGGTCAAATCTAGTGCTTTACCACTTGAGCCACAGCTCACTTGTAATTTTGGAGTGGTTAATTGGAGATAAGAATCTGTGTCGGGGGACTTTTGTGGCCGAGGCGGTTTCAAAGCTTGATCCTTAGCTCTCAACCTACTGAGTAGCTAGTCTTCTACGGGTGAGCCACCAGCACCTCATTAGATTCTAGGAATGATGGACCCTGACACTGCCCAGGCCTTCCAGAAGGAATTGAGATGTGCCATCTGTATAAATACTTTTATAGAGCCAGTCACCCTAGAGTGCGGGCACAGTTTTTGTCGACCTTGTCTCTGCCTCAGCTGGGAAGAGACCCAGATTCCAACCAGGTGCCCTGTGTGCAGGGGACCCTGCCAGCAGAGAGACCTCAAAACCAACATGGTTCTGAGGAGCCTGGTGGCCATTGCCAGAAGAGCCAGCCTCAGGCATTTTCTGAGCTCTGAGGAATACATGTGTGGGACACACAGGGAGACAAAGCAGATGTTCTGTGAGGTAGACAGGGCCCTGCTCTGTAGGAGCTGCTCCCAGTCTCAGGAGCACAGGGCTCACAAACACCATCCCATAGATAGGGCTGCTGAGGAGCAGAGGGAGATGATTTCAAAGCAGATGCATGCTGTATGGGAAAAGACTCAAGAAAACCAGCACAATTTACAGGAGAAGAGGAGACTCATCAACCTATGGATTTGGTATGTGAAGCTATTTCGAGGCATGACTAAGGATGTTTTTAGAGTGCTGTTTTTAGAGCTGGGTGTCCAGGAGGAGGAAAGACACCATTCCCAGCTACTGATCAATGAAGGAAGAGCCATGTTACTGCAACTCAGAGAAAGGGAAACCCAAATGCTTCAGAAGAATCATCAGCTCAGGAATATGTATCAGGAGCTGATCAAAACATACCAGAAGCCAGATGTGGAACTGCTTCAGGATGTAGAGTTGATCCTAGAAAGCTGTGAGTCAGTCTTGTTCTTCCTGCCTCTTCCTCTGAGGCCAGAGCTCAGTGCCCCTCCCATTCCTGGACTGATAGAGAGGCTCACCCAGCACCGAGTGGAGATTGCCTTCAATGACACTACGCGGAATCAAGATCTTGGGAGTTGTGTTGGACACGACAATCCCTATGCAGTTTTGAATACTGAAGAGTCCTTCCACTTTACTTCTTTTGGACGCCAAGTCTTCAGCTCTGGGAAACATTACTGGGAGGTTAGTGTGGATGACTCTTCCACCTGGGCCCTGGGAGTTATTAGGGATTCCTCCATAGGGAGCAACCTCACTGAATCTGAGGATCTTTTCCTCCTTTTGTTTGTGAAAGAGAACACACTTTCCACCATTTTTACCACCTCCCCACTGCTGCCTCACTATGTAGAGAAGCCTCTGGGCCGGGTTGGTGTGTTTCTTGATCTTGACGATGGCAGTGTGAGTTTTTGGAATGTGGCTAAGAGTTCCCTTATCTGGAGATACCCCACTGGTGCTGTCCAATTTCCTGTCAGGCCCCATTTTTTCAGTGGTAGCCTCGCGTCCTAACTGAAGAGACTCTCTATGTGTTGGGAACTCTATGGCAGAGAACCTTTCTCAAATGAGGCAAACCACTAATACTGTACTAATTTGAATTTCTGGGTACAGTAATCCCATTTTTTCATGAAATATGTTGGTAATAATAAAATGTAAAATGTAGAAACCAATACTAAATGAAGATAAGATAAAGTAGCAACAATGTAACAAGAGAGCAAATAAATATTTAAAAATTGCTATAAAAATAAACCCATGCAAAACTGAGTCCCCAGTGACTGCTTTTCACCCTGAAAGGAGTTGGAGCTCAGAATAACAATAAAAAACAACACTTAAAGCAGTTGGCACTGTTGTTTTACCAGTAATCCTTGCTACTCAGCAGGCTGAGTTCTGAGGATAATGCATAGCCAGGATGAACAGAAAAATCCAAGCGACTCTTATCTCCAATTAACCACCAAAGTGGAGTTGTGGTCACGTGGCAGAAGAAAAAAAATCCCACAAGAACAGGGCTCATGCCCTAAGTTCAAGCCCCAGGAACAGCTAGAACAAAAAAGCAGTACTAGTTTCAGTGACACAAAGTTCTAGAGCAGCCTTTTTATTAATAGGTCCTGTTATCCATCCTGGGAGGAAAAAAAACAAACACCTCTCTCCTAGAGCATAGGGGTGTTTACACTTTCTATTAGATTGGATTCTTTAACTTTCAGTATCATTTCCTAAACAAGGGGAAAAAAAACGTATACTCAGAGAAAGAGTTGTTAATGGAGAAGACTGAAAATGCATGGTTGAACACTAAAGCTGAAGACATGTCTTTAAATAGAAGAAGTAAGTCATCTTTTGGGGGTCTACAAATGAACAGAATACTATGGTAGGCTAAGAGATTCACAATAATAACTATGGCAAAGCTTAATTTATATATTAGGCATACTGAGAAGTTAACAAGAGCTACCAATTGTAACAATATAACAGGATGCTGTGCAGCTGTGATGGCTCTTTTTGGATACTTAATTGTAGTTCTTTCATCCCCTGTGAAATTATCATATGGAGTTAAAAAAATGCTTACTTTTGGTGCTGGGAAGGTGACTCAGTGGTAGAGCATTCCCTTGCATGCATGAGGCCCTGGGTTTGATTCCTCAGCACCACATAAGCAGAAAAAAAGCCCTAAGTGGTGCTATGGCTCAAATGGTAGGTACTAGCCTTGAGCTGAAGAGCTGAGGAACAGCACCCAGAGTTCAGGCCCCATGACTGGACCCACCTCCAAAAAAAAAAAAGCTTACTTTTTTGTTTCCCTTTCATTCTAGATACTTAATTGTTGTGTGTTCATCCCTTCTGTAATTATCTTATTGATTATGAAAAAAACTATTACCTTGTGATTCAATGATATGTATGTAGCGATAGACTGCTACTTCCCTGTTGGCACTTCAGATATAGGAGACTTTGCTTTCAAAGCTCATGGTTCAACAAACAAGAACAGAATACGTTCAAGATCCTGGAATGTGGAAGCTTATGTCATCGATTCTACAGAACTTACTACCCTAAAAATATCATCCTAGATAATTTTCTAATGTTTATAGTGAACAGAGTATTAACAGTGTGCTCTTACAAAACACACACACACACACACACACACACACACGAGCATTAGTAGGTTCTCTTATCAGTTTATTATATATATATTAATTTACCATTTCATTTTAATATAAGCTTAGTCATATATGGTGTTTATTAGCCTTTTGATCCAACATAAAGCTCAGGAGAGTGCATAGATCCTTAGTTTAAGCCCCTGGACTATTTCAGAAAAAAATTTAAAATGGGTAAGTCACAATAGAAAATAGACTTGGAGGAAGTAATCTCAGATCCAAGGATCCTTTCCTGACACACAGTTAGGTGATGGACATTCAGGTTATTACTGGGTTCAGACTGGTGAAGGAGATGGGCATAGGGGGTAGGTTCCCTGTAGACTTAACAATGATCACATCTCATCCAATAGCTAGTCAAGTTGACATCTGTCTGTCATCTCAGCTATGTACAAAGCCTTGATAGGAAGATCTAAATCCAGGAAAGCCTAAGCATAAACACAAGATCATATTCCAAAAATAAGCTAAAAAATGGTATGTTGTATACAGTTCTGGTACTGTACTGTTGAATTCATACCATTTGCTTAAACTCTGCAAACCAATTTATTTAACACTAAATTAATCTATAACAATTCAATGATGTTGGTCCAGTTTTTCAATTTAGAAAACAATAGGCAGGTGTTAATAAACATAAGGTGGTGCTGAGTTTATTAAAAGAATGTTTGTGTGGTCATGTTTCACTGTATAAATGTGAGTATAGAGAATTCAGTGCAGTCTTGGTTTATCTTCCCACACGTGATTTTTAGGGTGACTTCACCTTCCTATTATAAGATTAAAAGTAGTATTTGTGACTTTGACCACTTTTGGTAGTTTTTGACTGTTGTACTGTGCACTGTTGCTTTTATTTTTCTCTCATTTCCAGAAAAAAAAAAGATAAATCACTTGCTGTAATCATGTTGTAATACCCTGGCTTATACATTTAAATTTCTATTGTTTATTTCTGTGAAATCTATGTTACATTCAGACAGCATTCTGACATTTTATCTAATCATACAACATATACTATTCTATCTTTCTTTGTATTATCTTTCTTTGCATCTATCTTTGCATTAGTAATTAGTAAAATCCTAGATACTGTGTTGCTCATTTCAGAACTTCATGAGTATTTTTACTACTGGCATAATTAATGCCATTGACAAAAGAACTCAATAAATTAGATGTAGTCAAAATTTTCTACCTTATATATCTATAAGCACCAACAACACTACTTTATTCTTGTGTGTGTTTTAAATTTCTGGCCTATATTGATATAGATCTATAGTTTATTTATATTGTATTTTATTTATCTATTCATTATTTATTTTTGTTTAATTAACTATTTTTTGCTAGTTTTTAAAATATTTTATTTGAATAGTTGAAGAAAGGAGCTGCCATTCATTAAAGTAGTTTGTGAATACAATGCACCTTGATCACTTTAATCCCTTTTTAACATTTCCATTCATCTCTCCCAAACACTTATTCTCTGATTTTTCTTAATTTTGTGGCATATGCATTGATTTTTTTTTTACTTGCTCCTGCTTTCTACCACTTTGCTATATTATATGTCTACTTTCATGGTAGAACACTTTTACTAGTTAAAGATGATCTAGTATCCCTTTGAAAAATCATTGTATGTGTAATTGAAAAATGTTATATTTGTTAAATTAATTCTATAAAATTTAGGGATTCTTTGAATTCTGAAAGTATATTCAATCTTCATCACCTTGGAATATTCTCAAATATTCATCATTCACAAAGAAATCTCATACCTGTCTGCAGCTATTCTGAATTCTCCTTAGACTTCCAACCCCAAAGAAACTAATGTTATGCCTGATTTTGATAATTCAAAATTTCATTAAAATCAAATCATTTTATGTGTTATTTTGTGTCTGGCTCTTTCCATCTAGCCTGTTGTCAGTGTTTCCACTAATATCAATTCTCCATTTCTCTTTTTTACTTGATAATGGGCTATTTCATGAGTATAAAATGTTTTGTGATCTGTTTTCCTATTGGTCAGCATGAATTTTTTTTCAGTTCTTTCGCTGTCATGGATAATATTGCTGTTTTGTACTTAAGCGTATAAAAATTATAGACAAAGTTTCTATGTTGTACAAAGTTTCTAGGCTGTTTGGTATTTCTGTAACTAACTTTGTGAGGAACTTTTACACTAATTTCCAAGATGAATGTGCTATTTTACAATGTGTGAGAGCTTCAATTTCTTTACATCCTTGTCAAACCTTCTAATGCACATCTTTTACCCATTCAGGTGAGCATGAAATGACATCTCATTTCTATTTTATAAGTGATTTTACAGGTGCTAATGCTTTTGTCTGTTTACACATTGTTCGATTAAGAAATTTCATGTCAAATTCTTGGTCCATTAATTGAGTTACTGATCCATTTTTTTCCTTTTTCTCCAATTCTTTTGTTTTGGAATAGAAAGTTTACACCATGTTATTATATATTGAAGATATGGTGCTCCTCATCCTCTCTGTCAACCAACCTCTTACTCTTCTTCCTTTCTCTTCTTTCTCCTCATTGTTGCTGTTTCTATACTTCCTTTTTCTCCTCTTCCTCTTCTTCCTTCTTCTTACTCCACCTCTTTGTTTCCTCTTCTTCTTCTCTTCCTCTCTTCCTCTTCTTTATTGGACCAAAGCTTCATACTGTCCTAATAAACATTCTACCACTTAAAACTGGACCATACTAGTTTTTTTTTCACATAGGGTCTAGTGCTTTTACTCAGGCTTCCCTAGAATTGTGATCCTACTGTTTTCACTCTGAGCAGCTTTAATTAAAGGCATGTGCCTTTATACTTGGCATATGGTTTTGCTTTTTTAAAAAAAATATATTTACTTTTATTTGTTGGTCATGGGGTCTGAACTCAGCCTGGGCACGGTCCCTCAGCATTTCAGCTCAAGCTATCACTCTACCACTTGAGCCACAGTGCCCACTTCTAGCTTTTTCTACTTATGTGGTGCTAAGGAATTGAACTCAGGGCCTCATGCATGCAAGTCAAGTACTCTACCACTGAGCCACCTTTCCAGCCCTATTTTGTTTTATTTTCATGGCAACTCTCAGCTAAGAATTTTCTTTGAGCCTCTGTGGACATTTTGAAGCTGGAATTTTGAATGGTGTTGGAAGTCAAAGCTACAAAGAGTTTTGGAGAGAGGCAATGCATTCTGTTAGCTCTCCTTTTATGCTAGTGTCTGAACATGAATGTAGGTCTTTTGGAGACAAAAGTGGAGCGTTTTTGTATAAGGAGATGGGTTTGGGTGCTGCGTTCAAATGAAATGGTTAAGTCATATTGTCACTTTGGATTGAAAAATATGCAGGAGAGCAATAACATACACAGCTAGGTGTATGGGCGACTGAGTTCCCAGAGAAATTTAGCTAAAGTGGCAA